GGGGTGGGGAGGGGGGAGAGTGTTGGAGAATGGAGCTGCCCGGGAAGGGGGAAGAAGGGGAAGAGAAGAGAGTAAATATATCTGACCGCGTCAGCAAGAGCGTGCGCGAACGGGCAGCAGTCAGATATTTTCCGGGCAGTTTGTATTGTTTAATGGTATTATTATTTGATACATGATTAATATTTAATTTTTTTAATTTTGGTTGATTGTTCAAGTCAAAAAATGTAGGGTTTTTTGCTGTTTGTCCAAATTTCTTTTCAAGTTTTCACACTGTATTTTGTTGGAAAGAAATATCAAAGAATTTTTCAACTTGAGGTTTTTTGTCAAGTTGGGTATGCTTTATGTTTTAAGTTTTAAATTTTTAATAGTGTTAAGAGAAATAATGGGTGATATTTATGTTTAGGGAAATTATGAATACCACCCCTAAGTTTAGTCTAATTACAAAATACTACTCTTGTTTTAAAAAAATACAATTGCTACTTAGATTTGTAACCGCAACACTAGTACTAACGAGCCTGTGAGATTCTAGATTTTGTCGTAGTTAATTCTAAGATTTTGTATTTGATGTGGGGTTTAAGAAAAAACAATCGAGCACTTTTCGTAGTTAACCCTTATTTATTTTTGCAAATGAAAGTCGGTTGTTTTTAAAAAAAAATTGGAAACGATAACTTTTAAGAACTTAGACGCAAAAATTGATATTTGTTTGTCCATCTGAAAATATAATAGCAAATTAAATAAATGAAGGGGGAATTTTGTAATGCAAATATACCTTGGAGGAATAATGGTTATTTTATAAAGGAGAGTTTTTGTAATTCATACATACTTTAAGGTGTTTTTTGCAATTTGAGCCCTTAGTCACACAGGTCAAAAGGATTTCAAATGTAGCACCAAAACCACGGACCACAACTAGCAAAAGTTGCATGTCACAATCTGTTTAACTTAAGGTAAACATAAGGCCGACATGAGTTGGATTTATCGGGTTAATCGATCCACTTTCGATTCGGTTTTTTCAGTTGATATTTTTTTTGTTTCGGGTTCCTGGTTTTCAGTTTACTCAAAATTCGGTTGATTGGGTAATATCGGTCATTCGATTTCTTTATTAAATTTTTTTTAGTATAAATATTTTAATTACAATTCTTATTTTCTTAACGCTAAAATAATATATAAAAGAAGTCAAGCCCAAAAACTTGAAACAAAATTTTATAAATCTCTCGTACCCGACCCATGCACAACCCTAGTTCAACTTATGTCGGTAGAATTTGATAAATAATTTTAATTAGGGGTTTTTCTCAAAACTCTCAAATAATTTATATACTTAATTAATATGGGGGAGGAAGTATATGGATGGAATAATAAATCACACATATACACGGTAAGCATGTTTATTGGCTCAAGTTGATTAAAAAAGATATTTGCTGGGTCCTCTATAAAATCTCATAAGTATATTTTGATTAAATTATTAAGATAATGTTAATATTTAATTAATTTATTTTATGGTGATGAACAATATTGAATAATTTGTCAGCCACAAAGTTAAATTATGGGCCACCAAAAGGAATAAGGAATTCGGATTGAGGCCCAAAAGAGGGAAAACAAAAATTATTGGATTTTTTTTGCATATATTCTATTTTGTTAGAATAGTAATAATAGCAATTATTATTATTATTTTATTTAATTTTATAAATAAATTAAACAATCAAAGTGTTGACTAAATTTCCTTGCCTTTTCGTTTTATGTGTATACACTGTACAATGATAGTTGAACCAACTTGCACAACTACAGTTGAACCAATCAAATTTCCTTGTTGCCTTATTCCCACTAAAATGTGGGGAATACGATGCTACACCCGGTGATTTTTACCGGGTGGCTCTTTTCTTGACATGTGTCTTTTATTTATTTATTTTATAATTATATTTCTAAAACTCATTGGGCCATAACTGAACCCGTAGTGGAAATCTTATTAATTAGGGTGTCTGGTTATATTCACCAGGTGTAGCATAGAATTTCCCCTAAAATGTAAGCTATCTACATCGGAACTATAAATTATTATTTAAAACAATTTATTATCATTCCAATAAATCCAGCAAAATTAACTCATATAGCTACTACTACTGTAACAACTCATAATTCTAAATATAATTCTTAACCAAATCAAATAATTCAAAGCTTGACTTGAAAGTCAACGTACTATGCTACATATACCACCACCATAAGGTATTCAATCATATATATATATATATAATATAATATATAATTGATTTATTGTGAACACGGCTTTGACTTATTTACATCACCGCTCGAAAATAAATAAATAAAATAAAACTGCCTGATTATAATCTGATTACCAAATCCGGAATATGATTATTCTTATATTACAAAAAATGGGCCCAAATCTCGAATTCATAAACAGCCCAGTAACAGGATTCTATTTTCGGCCATTCTATTATATGATTTCAGCACTACATATATTTGGCCCAATTAGATAATAACATTTGTGTGTGTGTGTGTCAGTGTGTGTGTATGTGTGAGAGAGAGAGAGAGAGAGAGAGAGAGAGAGAGAGAGAGAGAGAGAGAGAGAGAGAGAGAGAGAGAGAGAGGATTATTATTATTATGTGGCATGAGAGTGTGTGCCCTTTATTGTGTAACCTAAATGGCTCACACAATCATGAGATTATCGATTATCTAATTAGAATTTTAATTCTTTAACAAATTAAACAAACAATAACTTTTTCCAAAAGTTATTGAAATATGAGGGAGGGTATATAACAAACCATTAAAGTGTTAGCATGCATCATGGTATATATGATATAAATTACCGACAACCCTGAAGTAAGGTCAAATTACGGAAACACTCCTTACTATTTAGGTAATTACAATCACCGATCAAGTAGGTATTGTCTTACACGTCCATTCTTGCGGTGTTAAATTTACCGATTGAAGAAACGAGTTTTTGATAAGAAAAGACATAGCTCAGAAGGTAGTTGTAATTAAGTATAAGTATTGATTGATTTTTTTATTTCTTTTTGATAATTAAAGTATTGATTGATTGACAAATAGCAAATATAACACAATCAAGGTTTCTCTCCATTTCAGCAGCCTTGTGATGATGATTGGTACCAATATAATTATGATGATGACCCCTCCAACAATATTATGAAAAAAAAAACCATGTTCGTAAAAGAACAATATGGAAGAAAGAATTAATTAGTTTATTCAGACAAAATTGGATGTGGGAATCCTAAGTTCATTACAGAACTGTCATGCAGAGAATAATGCATGTTGCCACTCAACCCAAAACATAGCATGCTTGTGGGGCCATGTCAGCTTCACACTCTTAATCAAGTTTTAGGGTTCAAAATACATCAATTAATTAATTATAACTTCATAAATATATATTTATCAAAATAACAATTAATAATAATAATAATATTTACATATAATATAATATAGTAGACGGTTGGAATATATATCTGCTGGAAGATTAATTAAATTGTTTGGACATGGGTATGTATGAATTGGATTATTGAGATTTGAGATGGTGGGATCTAAGTACAATGGAAGGATGTCAATGGATTGGGTGGCAACTAATCCATTTTTATTTAATTAATTTCTGTAAATTAAAGTTGATTATATTCGAATTCACATAGGAAAATACAGAACAACTATTCTTTATTTATTATTATTTATTTATTTCTGGTGAGGAGGATCCAATGTAATTTCATTTGCTTCAATATTCTATCACATTTTATCATATATATATATATATGTATAAACTATAAACCATTTATCATGAAGAACCGCCGGCCCTTGTTGCTCGCGTTCCCGGTCGCTGTCCGACACGGCCATACACGGGTGTCCAAGCTGTATCCAAACATTTTCAAGTGTCCAGGTGTCGGATACGAGAAACTAATTAAACTAAATGAACAAAAGCCTTAGATTGATCCTGTATACATCCAAAAGAAACAAAATACAGGTGCACCTAAAAGGGTTTCCCTATATCAAGTAATTAATCCGACCTGCATAAAAGTTAGTATAGAATCACAAAAGGCAGTGTGGAAAAATAAATAGCTCATTTCCCTTCTTTTTTAGTCTTTTTAATGAGATTTTATACAAGGTTTGTTTGCATTGGATTCCTCACCCAAAAGGGCTCTTATATATTTCAATCAATTATTGAAAACTTGATAATTATCTCATTCTCTCTCTCTCTCTCTCTCTCTCTAGAGAAAGGTCAAACTAAAAAGCAAATACCCTTTATATTAACCAACCACATTTTCCAAACCTTCGCATCAAAAACCACTGCTCCTTCTTCTTCTTCTTCTTCTTCTTCTTCTTCTTGTCTGATCAATATGCTATCTGTTTTTTCAACAAATTAGATACACACACATATATATATACACATAACCAAAAATACACAACCCTTCAAACATTTCAATCTTCATGCACACAGACTTGAAGCCATTAATTTCCTCCATGGGTTTGCCCAGTATTAAAGTTGCTTCCGAGGCTAAAATTCTCTCAGGTAAAGATAATCTGCATGCAACTACAAAATGCAACTTCTTCTTTGAAAAGCTCCATAACAAAGAAGAAGCTGATCAGAAAAGCGCTTTTTCAGCGCCTGTTCTGAAGATCAAACTGCCATCTTCTGCAACAGTTGACGAGCATGGTGAAGAAGAAGAAGAAGAAGAAGATGGTGGGTGCAGGACACCGAAAGCAGTCGATCACGAAAAGAATATTCCCCCTAAATGCCCACCACCTCCAAGAAAACCCAAATCAACACTCCTATCCTTAAAGAGAAAATTAGGTCAAAGAGTACTTCTTGATCTGTCAAGTGAAATTGAGTCACTCTTTCCTCCAAATCTTCTCAGAGATTTTGTGAGTGGTAGTAAGATAAAGAAACTTAGGCAAGAAACTTCATGAATCTGCTTATAATATTTCTCTTATTTGTTGCTATATTATACAAGTTAAGTCTAATGCTAGTAGCTCAATCTTTCTCTTAATTCTATCAACTTTTGATAGATATTTGCGATGTACTTCCAAGGACATTCGACAATATCTGCACTTCTATTCGAGATTCTAGAATCCTGTAATTCGTAACCATTAGGAACGAGTAAGCTTTTCGGCATTTAACAAAACCATTAACAATGAAAAACCGTTTTCGGCGTGTCTTTACGACCAAATGACAACATCAAAACTATGACAAATTATAAAGTAAATCCAATAATTTCAGATCTCCTTTTGTGTACAACACATGATACAGCAGGTGCATAGTTCATCTAAGAAGCATGTTCATTAAAGAGCTATACATACATATACACAAAACAAGGAGAGTATTGCTTTTTTCTCAATAATGCACAACGGTTCAAATCGATTCTGTTCGATAAAAACTAGGGGATGATTTTACACCTGCAACTTACAAGGGGGGTTACAATTGACATTCACATTATGTCATAACAATAGCTTGGCCACTTCTCTCTGTACGTACTCGACTCCTTTCATTGCTCTTTTTTCTCGTTTTTAGTCCTCAACGGAACTCATAAACGAATATAAATATCAACTTAAAGGGAAGAACGGGAGAGGTGATCTTCCACCTTTACCCTCATAACAACCAAGCTATATAAAGAGAACCACAAATGAAGAAAAACCCAAATAAATAAACAAAAAAAAATACAGAAACAAGAATATTCCTTCACTCAACTATCATCATCGTTAGCCGATGAAGGTGGATGTGCGATCGCCTGACTCTCAGCTAGTGCCCGTGCCTGCTTCTGCGTTTCCACAAATCTGTTCATCCGCTCGAGCAATTGTGCGGCTTTTCGTTTCCCTCTTTCAGTACCGTGTTGTGCCAAATCAAGAAGCGGGCCCATCACGCCTAGCTCCTGTGCCTGAACGAGGTGCTGCTGGTCACCGGAGCAGAGGTGCACTAAAACTGCCGCCGCGTTTTCCTTGTTCCTCGGCGAACCACTCCCAATAACGTCCACCAAAACGAGCACAGCCTCAGCAGTTCCAATGGCCGCCTTCCCTTCCGGATGGCTAGCCAATATTGCCAGAATCGCCAGTGCTTCGTCCACCATGCTGCCTTGAGGCTCGGTCAACAATTGCATCAGCGTAGGTATAACCCCAGCCCTCACAGCCTTACCCTTGTTGCCTTGATATATGCATAGATTGAATAACGCTGTTGCGGCATCTTTCTTCCCTCTTTGCGTGCCTTCGCTGAGAAGTGTTACTAAAGGTGGAATTGCACCGGAGGAGCCAATGGTTACTTTGTTTTCATCCACCACGGAGAGGCTGAAGAGGGTGGCGGCAGCGTTTTCACGAGCTTCCATGCTCCCCTTCCTGAGCACGTGGACCACGCCTGGGACCGCACCGGATGATACGATGGTCCCCTTGTTGTCCTCGCATATGGAGAGGTTGAGGAGCGCGGTAACTGCATGCTCCTGCGTACGGGAATCCGGGGTGGAGAGGAGGTGGACGAGTAAAGGGATTGCTCCGGCTTCTGCTATGGCAACGCGGTTGTCGGCGTTGCGCTTGGCAAGGAGGCGGATTTCGCCGGCGGCGGAGCGGCGGTCTTCGGGGCTGTTGGAGGTCAGCTTGCTGAGGAGGGAGCTGATCTTGGTGCGCTCGGCAGCGGAGCAGGCGGAGCCACCCGTCTTGGTGGTGGGGCGGGAGGTGGTTGGTCTTTTGGGGGGTTCGATGCCGTTGGATTCGCACCATTGGGCGATGAGGCTTCGAAGGACATAGTTTGGTGTGAGGGCTGTGCTGGTGAGTGCTTGTTGTGTCTTGGGGCAGGTGGAATGCCCTGCTGCCAGCCATTTCTCGATGCACAACCTTTCGTAAGTCCCCTTTTTTGTCAGAGATCAGAATGCAATCCAATTAATGAAAAAATAACAGCAGATTCTATGGTTCGTGGAGCATCTGAAGATGCAGAGAGAGAGAGAGAGGCATCAAATATAGTAATGCTTCTGTTACTTAGATTACTCACACACACACACTCAAAGCACACAAAATATACCACTTTTTGCCTTAAGGTGGACAATCAATGGATGGATAGACATATAAAATATAAATATGAGACTGAACCCAATACAAAGAAGAAAAGAAAAAGAAACATTTGGATTTTCCTCGCCATGTATGCAACTCCTATACTAGCCAGATTCCAAAAGATTGTCTTCCAGTGATAATCTATTTGCATGCAAATATTGAATACTTCGTGCAGGTCATTACTCCTCCGGAAGTAATTAACAACAAGAAAAGAAATAATGTTGCAGTTAAGGTATCATTCAAAATTTACAAACTGATGAAGATACTAAAACACGAAGAGAAACTATAAACACCTGAGTTTGGAAGCAAGATATAGGACAGTACCTGTCCTGTTGAGACGATGACAGGATCGTTCATTAGCTCTAAAGAGATAGGACATCGAAAATCATCCGGTATAACAAGGTTCTGATTTCCATCAATTGGTGTTTTTTCACCACTACTTGTTGGGGTAGACTTTTCGGCATCAATATTTGGATTCGATGTCTGCACAAAATCCTTAACTTTCTTCAGAAGCATCGACATCTTCTCTATGCTCTCCTCTGGGTCCCCGCCAGTTGCCCCAACCATCTCATGCAGAGCTAGCGATTCTTGAGTTAAATCAGCTATCCCACCAAGATGTAATTTTTCGACCAATCGGATTAGTACATCTGGATCTTCTAAAGCATCATTATTCTTGTTGTAAAGGCACAAAAGATCATCGTACAGCTCATCATCTGGTCCATCCATTCTTCCCTTGGCTCTTCTGAACTGAGCAAGGACGAGCTCAACCTGGAAAAGAAATCATGTGAAGATACCTTAAATGACTTTTTTCAAACATTTTCAGAAGTTATCAGCAACTAAGACAGTTTCAAATTTAGACGAAATGAAAGACAAAGAGCTAACCTGTTCTTTGACCTCGTCTGATATGTCTAGTTTCTCGAAAGAAATGCCACTCAGAGCTTGCTCCAGTTCAGCTGTCACTTCTTGAAATCTAGTCATGATATGCTCTCTTTCTAAGACCTGCATGCAGATATTCCTATTGAAATTTTGTTGTACTTCGAGGAGAGAAAGCATAAGAAAGAACAGGTATGTGGACCAAAAAATAACCGCAAACCAATATATTATCTAAAGTGGCAACTAATTATGATAATTAATTAACTACATTCATGAAACTAACCCCACTGTCCTCTCCATTCATCGCACATCCCTTTGATCACCTAAGGTCTTCTTTTTCCCATCGAAATAAGACTAATAGGTAAAGATTCTTTCTCTTCCTATTGAATCTTATTTTCCATACGCAATTAAATCTCTAGGTTTCTAACTGATTTCAGATCTGAGTCATAAAACTCCTCCATCAATAACTAGCTAAAACCACAGTTCCAACAAGCATTTCTGAATTGCTTATCTAATTGAATATTTATGCTCCTCCAAGAGTAAGATATCTGTAATTTGAGTCTTGCTTTACTTAGCAAACTAACTGGGGGCTCTAGAATAATTAGAAGGAAGAAAGTTGGTGGGAGATTAGAAAAGGACAAAGGAACAAAAACCTGGAAGAAAAATAAACAAATAGGAGTCTAAAATAGCAAAACACGGTTTCCGGTTACTAATTTGCTAAAAATTTATCCAGTTTAACAAATTGGCCTTTCTTGACCAGCAACTCTGTTTAAACAGCTGGACTTGGGGCACTCAATCCATGGTAGAAACAGAAAATCCAATCAGTTTCTTGAACACTGCTTTTCCCCACAATAGGGAAGATGATACTAAACAGAGAATGTTATTGATGTGACCTGGAACATGCCAATATGACGAAATTAGTGTACGCAGATGATGTCAGATACAAAATCATTTTACTAGATTACTTTGGGATTTTCCTAAATTGTTTCTGAAGGACATTTAATAACACGTGGCAAAAGTTGTTAAACACGTTTTAATCATTTAACAAAATTGAAACCGTAATTTCGTTTTCCGTCATATGTCAATACGTGGCAAGCAAGACAGCTGTGGACTCTACGTGGCAACAACCAATCACAAATGCGGTTTTCCCAACCCCAATGTCTTAACAATTAACATAACATGCTTAGATAACTACAAAATCACGGCTTCCATGACATTGTCATGTCGAACTAGCAAACTTAGGTAGTCTTAAAATCGATGCTACAAAGTGATGGCATTCCATTTGAGAGACCAAGTTTCTATTCTTAATTTAGCATAGTTCTCTCTCCACAAATCCCGAAAATTGCCCTAGTATAGATAACCTCAAAAACTTTTGGGAAACAAGATTCGACCAACGACCAACGAAAATGAATCTTCTCCAGTTTTCAGTTTGTTTCCCTCGTTTTCTCCAATTAGCATCGGGCGATTCTGTAGATATATCAACCACTCGTCAACTGCTTCTCTCTACTATCCAAACAAGCAACTGGAATCCAAAATCTGAACTCAGTAAATACCTCGCCAATTTCCTAAGAGCTGCTAGCAAACAAGGTCAAGAAAATGTGTACTGTTACTCGAAACTCAGATAATCAATATCAGATAAATCCTATCCTATGATCCATCCAGTAAACACAGACACGGAAATGTCAACATCAATACAGTCAAAACAAAAAAAATCAACAGATCAAACAAACAATAAGCACCTAAACCAATAAGTGATCTGATCTACACTGAAGATCGAAGAGAATTGTAAATTAACAAAATAATAATAATAATAATAAACCCAAGCCATACCGACCAGATATATCTTGCTGCCTTCGCTGCCGAAGTGGAGCAACTCCTTTGCCGATTCGAGGGCGGTCACCAGCGAAGCTAAAGCATGGATGGAGTCTTCGGGGAGCGGATCTTTGCCATCGCGAATTTCTTCGAACATTGGGGTCAACAGCTTCAGCCGCCGAGCTAGATTGGTGTACTGCTTCTTCACGGGGCTTCTGTAGTCGGAAATCGCCGATATATCGCCCACTATATCGATCAATTTCCGCGACAACGCGGCTTTTTCGTCCTCCATTGTCACCCGGAGATCTGAACAGAATTCACGGAGAAGAAATCCTCAAAATCAGTAGAAAAAATGGTGAACTGGAGTCAACGGATGGAAAGCTAAATTTGAGCTGGCGATGGGGAATAGCTGGTCCAGGTCGGAGACTTCTCCATTACAGAGAGAAAGAAAGAAAAATGGAGGTGTTCAGACTTGACTTCATACCGGGGGGTGGGTTGGGGTAGGGGTGGGAGGGTATAGCGGCGCGGCGCGGCTTAACTGCAGTTAGAAGATTACCAGAGAACAGTTTTTGGTCAGCTTGGCTTGGGATCTGTTAAATTCTTTTTTTACCGGCGGTGGAAATAGCGAGAGGAGGGTTTTACAGCAAGAGTGTGGTTCACGAGGTGAAGGGGGGAATTAAAACACAAGGATAATTAAATTATTTTATAATAAAATAAATATGTATTTGACCTTTAAAAATTATATATGCGCTAATTAAGGTTAGTCATTGTTTAATCAACATATCTTTTAGTAGGTGCAACTAGGGGTGAAAGTCGGATGGATCGGATCGGAATTAGCCTTTTTCGGAAAATTTTTAAAAAATTTCGGAAGTAAAAAATCAATTCCAATTCCAGTTCCAAAATTTTCGGAATCTAAAAATTCATTACAATTCCAAAAGACCCGGAAATTTCGGAATTTCGGAAAAAATCGGAAATCACATAAGCTTTAAAATTTCAAAACTTAGCCGAAATTTTCTAAAATGTTCATAATTTTTCGAAAATAAGAGCATCCACGTCGATAAAAGTAAAACTAATAACTACTAAATTTCAGTTCAAAAAAATAAATAAAAATAAACAGAGCATAATATCCAATAAAACTTCTAACAACAATTCATTATGTCAAAATCCTAAAATAAAACTTATAGGTGTATGTTTCGGAAAATAAGTATTATATAATATATACTATTTATAGGTGTATTTTTCGGGAAAAAATCAGAATTTTCCGGAATTAATTTCGGAATTAAATCGGATCGGAAATCGGAAATTCCAAATTTATTTTATATAATTCCAATTCCAATCCAAAAAAATTGGAAAATTTCGGAAATCGGAATTTCGGAAGTCGGAATGAAAAAAGTTGTTCCAAAATCGGAACTTTTTTGATCGAAACCGGCGGAAATTAAAAAATCCGTTCCAACTTGCACCTCTAGGTGCAACCAATGTCGAAATTGAGTACTATAACTTACAAAGTGATTTTGGTGAATAAATGAAATTTCATTGATTTTTTTTTTAATTCATCGTCCCTTCTAGAGGTGGGATTCGGACAAATCGCATCGTACTCAAAAAAAAAAAAAAAAAGAAAAATTTGAGTGGAAAAAATAATTACAAGTTCGTTACAAAAAAAATTAGGACATATCAAATATCAAAATTTCAAAAAATTGAAATGAAAATTTATTCCAAAATTGATTTTCTTAGTCAAAATCGTTTGAATTTGTAAATTACATTTTGTATACATATAATATAAAATTACATAATAATATGCATAGTGCTTACTTTGGCATGATTTCCACTTTGATAAAAGTAATTATGAAAAACATTGCTAAAATGCATGTATCCTCCCAAATTAAAGGTGTCAATTGTCGTCCACATTAGTTGTACTTAATATAAATAATAAGGATCTGTTTGGCTAAGTTTATTTTAAAGCTGATAAACTCTCACATTTGATAAGTTATTTTAAAAGTTGATAAGTTATTACGTATTAATTTTAGAATTAATCTTTAAGGAATTTGGATAATGATATTATAAACTGTAATAGAAGTATTTATACAAAAAATATCTTATTTGTTCCTAATATTTAATAAAAAAAAAAAAAAAAGATCTTATTAAATAAATTATCAAACACTTTACAAGAGATTATAAGCTCTTAAACATCTTATAATTTTCTTTTAATAAACTGTAAACTTAACCAAACATCCTCTTAAACAAATAATGCTTTCATCTACATTGAATTGTTAAAAAAATATATATATAAAGCTTTCATTTCATGCTTCAATAATAAAGCACAAACATTGGAACCATGACATTTTATGTACCTAACCTTGATCACTTGCCTTGAAATTTCTTGACACTAATCAACATATCAGCACTGAATCCTAGGCACGTGCCCCAATAATGAGAAAATGGGAGTAAGTTACACTAATCAACATATCAACAACATATTTTGTGTAATTTCACGTTGTCACTCCAATAAGGGAACATTAAAGAAATAGTATATTATATAGCATAATTTTGGCAAATTACACGAGAAACCTAGTCTAACCACGTGTAACAAGATCCACCTATAACATTTAATCGAGAAGTTTAAATCCGAATTACAAAATTAGTAAGGAATAATGAATCATCACTGTCATGTTATTACCACATTAAATGAGGAGAATGTTTAATTTATAAAACAAAATATTTTAAAGAATTAGTTAAGTCAGAGCTAATAGAATCAGTCATAAGTCTTAACGTAACCCAACTCGTCATTTTGCTCAACCACATATGCTATGTGGTAAAGTTTGAAAAAGTCAACGTAAAAAAAGTCAATGTGAATTAGTAGTACAAAATTGACATGTTTTTGGGCTTGGGTCAATTTTAAATAAATCCAGAATCCAACAAAACCCAATTAAAAATCCAGTCCACTTGAAATTTTTAAAATTTAATAAACTCAGTTGGGGTGGATCAATGGGTCCATACCCCATCTTCAATTTGGAGATCACTTATCAACTCGGCAATATCTTATTACATGTTGGGTGCTAAATACCAACACGCAAGTGCACGTATCGCAAACAAGTAATAAAGTGGACTCGTGAGAGTCGGATGTCGATCCCACAGGGAATACGCAAATTACCTAATCCTAAGTACCAAATTCTAACAATTATGATTTTTATCCAGCCTACGCAAGTTTGTCAAATTAAATCAATTAAACAACTAAACTAATAAAGAAAGCAAATAACACAGGAAAATATCAATTAAAACGGACATAGGATTTTATCTTCCCCCTATGCAAGAATTGCTCACCCAAAACCCCTCAATTATGAAATATATGATTCATGATTATTAACCCGAGACACTAATTTACTCATAATCCGCTGTCGCGTGTATTATGAGTCTATTATTCATAACGATTCACTATATGTCTATGCAAACCAATTATGAATAAAACATTAACTAACAAGTCTCGTAAATGGCTACCTAAGGTGATATCTGTATGTCTACGACACCACATGCAATTGACACACTCATCCGGTGAAAACTACTCGAAGGTTCTTCTACTTACCGTCTAATTATCAAAATAGCTCAAGAAAACGGGTTCACCATCTCCAAGAAAACGGGTTCACCATCCCCACATAGGGTTCCAACAAAATCCTAGATTAAAAACTTAGCTACTCATAACGAAAAACATAATAAAAACATAAAAAGAAATAGATTAAGAAAAGATATATAAAGGAAGAATTGTGATGAAGATTTGTCAATTCTCCGTCTTCGATTCTTCGTTCTCTCGCTCCTCTCGCTCCAAGGTTGTGTCAAAAGTCCCCTGTGATTCGTGCTTGGTTTGGGCTTAAATAGTTGTCCCAACTTGGTAGATGATTCTAGGTTTCCTTGTGTGTTTAAAAGTCCAAAATTGCCTCCAACGTGATTTGGCACGGCCGCGCGAAAATCAGTGCAATTCTCGCACGGCCGCGCGAGAATCGCCGAACCTTCTGCCCAAATTCAGCATTTGGCACGGCCGTGCCAAAAATAGGCTAATTTTGGCACGGCCGTGCGGGCCTGTTTTCAGCCAATTTCAGCATTTTTTTATTATTTCACTTTTGGCCCATATTTTCTCCAAAATTGCAGTTTTGACCCCAAACTTTTCCAATACTTCAATTTGTACCTAGAATACAATAAATCAACTTTTTAAGCACCAATTATCGTAAATTCACACAAAAAGCTCAAATAAAAAGATACGATAAAGTGTAAAAATATACACTTAACATTACATAAATGTAAAATTTCACTACTGGCTCCTCATCTTGATATTTAATTCAATTTTAGTCCTTCATGTTTTAATTGTATTATTTTCATTCTTTATCTATATGATTCATCTCGTTATAACTACTCGGTGCATAAGTATTGTAAACCTTTAACGGAATCTCTATATGATTGGATGAAATATTCCATTATTAATTATTTTTTATGAATTATGGGAAAAAAAACAATAAATAATTAATTTTATAATTTAAATCATATTTGTAACCAAAAAAAAATCTAAACTTATAAACCCTTACCTTAAAAAATATATGAAATATTAAAATATATACAAATAATCATTTAGAAAAAATAAAATAGTCATCATTTAGATTTTTTTTTGATATATACATGACTTAAATTGAGGAACATATCTAAAAAACCATTATAAAAGGTTTATTTTAATACGGCAACAATATGGGAATCATAGTAAATGCTAGGATTTACCGTATTAAAAAAAAAGTAGTTGCTAAGAACGTTTACCATAGTAAAACTTCTGTCACGTTTGTATTCGCTACGGAGAAAATCCATAGTAAAATCGTAGCAAATTTTTTTTTTTAATTACGAATTCAGTATGATCTTACGCAACAAATTTATATGATACTAAAAAGCAATAATATAAACACGTGGTACAAAATTACTTGCTAAATCATGATAGACATAATCATAACAACGTTCATAAATCATAATGGAATAACTTCACATGTTTGCAACAATGGGAAGAAGTGAAGGTAGGGGAGGGTAGTTATAGAAATTCAAACAAAAAGATAATGGAAAGGAAGAAAGAAAGATGAACCACTTATTATTGAATAAAGTTTCAATATATCACATAATAACTTTATGGAAAGTAATAAAGACTCCCCTAATTCAATAAAGCACTTGGAAAGATGAGTCACTTAAGAATTAAATTTTTTCAAACTAATTTTATTTTATTAATGAGATTAAAGTACATCATTATTTTATGTTCATATATATCATTTACCTAAATTCTAAACAATTATGTCAATTTCGGAGGTAAGGATAAATTACGAAATCCACTATTTGTTAATTACAACCATCAATTAACTACGTATTATCTTAAACGTCCACCCTTGCATTGTCAAATTTACATAATGAACGAGGGGGTTTTTCATAAATCAAAACATAGTTGGGGGTCATTATCGTAGTTATCCAATCATGAAGGACTTTTTTCGTAATTTAACATTATATTAGGAGTGAAAATGAATGGGCCTAGCATAAGTAACCCCAATCATTTGCAATTATCAAATAAATTTAGCCATTACTCTTTGTCTCTGTGCCAACATTTTCTTTTTCTGACAAAGTATGGCCGAAGCTTTGATCACAACCAAAAACCACTACTATAAAAAGGATTTTGCCGAGAGTAATAATTCAAGCACAATCATCAAATTCAATTTTTGCCTTTAATTAAAGGAGAGCTTGCACTCATTCCAAGTATTTTGTTTCACTATAGTACACAAATCACCTTAAAAAACCATAGCGGAAATTCGAACGAACTTTTCGAATTCCGCCAATCCCGATTTGAACATGGTCAACATTTTCGATTGAAATTTCCGAAAGTTACGATTTGAACCAAAATACATATTCTTTTTTTTTTCGAGTGCGCTAATTATGGTCTAATCCGTCCGATTTTCACCTATAGTAAAAACTAATTGATGGTCGAAAAATCGAATTCTCGAATTCGTTTGTTCGATTATTGGAAGAATTGCTGCTGATATCCAAACTAAAACAACAACCACAACCAAGAAAAATGAAGAATAAAAGTTCTCTAGACGATCAATTTCTTCTCTATATATCAATGGAAGTACAAGAATCAAAACACAGATGTTTCAGTATCTGTAATAATATGAACAGGTGCGAAAACACGAACTCGAAAAAAACAATCAACTTAAAACAATTCCAACCAACATCTTTTTCCTACTAATGCACACAACACTTGTCATCAAGCACCGTGTCGGAAAGTCGGAGACGAAGCTAATGGAAGTACCTGCGTCGCTTGGTTATGAAGATGCTCTCTCAAAATGCTCGCATACGAAGCACTTTGCTCATCTTGAGGGGCAATTTTGTCATTCTTCAACCCTTTTTTTCGACCGGCTTCCGCTTCTTCCAGCATCCTCTTTAGTAACTTATCCTCGGCATCTTTCAAGAACTTGAACTTCGGAGGAGGAGAAGATCTCAATTTGTTCAGTTCCGCCTCCGTAAGCGACTCGAAGAGGGGATTGAACCCGTGATTATTGTAAGAATCTAGGGTTTTAATCGGCGACGACAAAGGGGTTAAAAACGGGGTGCCATTGCCAATGCCACCATCGACACCGTAAACAAGATCACTCAAACTCCGAGTTCTTGATCCTTTTCTCGATTTCTTCCCATCTTCGGACTCCAAATCCTCTCTGCTTTCCTCTTTGATGGTGAAGAGGAATCTATTGTGGATCCTCATCAACTCTGTTTCCACCCCCAAATCCTCTTCGCAATTACTATTATACCCTTTGAACTCCGAGTCCTTGTCCGAGCAGCCCATTTCCAAATCTTGTTGTGAGTTTCTCACCGAGTTGGTGAGTTGTGCTGTGCTGCGAAACGAGCTAGGGTTTCTCCAGCAAAAGTGGAAAGAGAAGTCATCATTTTCTCTGCTGCTACTGCTGTTAGTAGAGTTGGCTATTATCTTCTTCTTCCACCATAGTAAATAGTAGAGCTCGCCAACTAGCCCCATCAAAATGCAACCGAACACAAAGCTCAACCCTATTCCTAAACCACTAAAAGATCCCATTTTTACCAAGAAAATTCACTTCCAACACTGAATTAACTGAACTGGAAACCCCAAAACTACAAACCCCAGGTGGGATTTTTTTTTTCCAAATATATTTTCCTCAAAAAAAAAAAAACAAAAAGCTAAGTGGTGAGGGCCAGCACCCTTCTCTTGAAATTTCCTACCATCTTTTCTCCATTATACAAAGCATTGTTCTGTGGGATTTGCACGTGTAAGAAGAGAGGAAGAAAGAAGAAAAGAGGTAAGCTGAGTTGAGAAATTTTGAATGCAAGAAATCGTTTGAATAAAAATCTTGACAAGAACAAGATTAAGTTTTTTCACACGAAAAGGATGTGTGGGATTTTTGGGCAAGAGCTTTGGAAAGAAAAGTTGAATGGGTGATGTGTATGAGTGTGTGTGTGTAGAATTGTTGGAGGGGTCACATCTTCACTGGATCCCTCACATGGGGGCTGGCATAAAGCCAAAACCTTTGTGTTAATGTTCTAAACATCCAAAATTTAAATTTATTTTCTTGTGTGGGATGAAAGAGTTTCATTCCCATTCGGCCCACCATCCCTATAACATGAATTTGAAAAAAAAAACAAGAAGGAAACGATTGTAGGCTCAGGGGTATTTTGGTCTATATTTGGAAATATCCGTCTCTTTTGAAAATTTCTTTTGTTTTTTACAATTCGAATAATGCATTAATTATACATTTTACAATTATGCCCCTGTGAGCTCTGCAATATTATTTATGCATTAATAAGTGAACAAGGGTACTTTGGTCAAACAATATTTATGTTCCTAAAACGTGTTACAAGTTAAACGACAATTGTTTAGAAACGGATGGAGTATTATTTTAATGTGATAAATTGAAGACATTGGTTTTATAATAGGCCTAATCAATCAACCAATGTGTTAATTGATTTATTGATGGGGATCAATTGGAGGACCTAGTTTAATTTGACAGGTACTAGGCCTTTCTATTGTGGGCTTATAAAAGTCCAATTAGGGAATTGGATTATTGTTCTAACTTTAAAATAATAAACAATTCTTTAGAAAGCAAACTATTATTGATAATTACCATATTATTAAAATATGTATAGATATATTTCCAAATTATCAACAAAATATAACAATTTAATAATAATGAATTAATATAAAAAGTCTCACCGAAGTTGAAATTTGTTTTGGCTTGGCACACGCGCTCTTTGTCTCTCTAGTCACAGCCCACCTTCTCTCTCTCTCTCTCTACCCCCAAATCTTTTTTCTTACAAACCCTAATTAGCGTCTGCTGCTTCAGATCTATCTTACCTCTTCGTTTGTGAGAAAGTACAGATACGGAAGAGAAGATGTCAGGTGCTGCGTTGGACATGACTCTCGATGATCTCATCAAGAGCAACAAGAAATCCGCGCCCCGTGGTAGAGGCCGCGCCGCCGGTCCTGGCCCAGCTCGCCGCCAGCCTAATCGCTCCGCCAATCGAGTCGGCCCCTACACCGCTCCCAAGGTCAGATCCCCTTCTTAATTTTGATTTTCCTTGTACCAATCTCCCACCTTTTTTTGGTTTTTGTTTAAACCTCATATCGAACTCGAAATTCTGAGAATTTTTTGTATTATGTGTTTGATGATGGATTTATTGCGTTGTTTAGGCACCAGAATCTTCTTGGGGTCACGAGATGTTCTCCTCTGGTAGTCGAGCACAACCACAACCTTCTAGTATCGAGACTGGAACGAAGCTATACATCTCCAATTTAGATTATGGGGTTTCTAACGAGGATATTAAGGTGATTTTTTTTTTTGATTTGTTCCTGATCTTTCCAAGTAGTTGTCAAATTGCTGGATTTTATGCCGTTCTTTGTTTTAACCTTCGGCAGTAAATTTTTTTTTTGTGAAAGATATGATAATTATCTTGTTTACCTGATTGATATGATCTCAGTGATAGGTGATTTTTTTCACTTTCTATTTTTGCTACGATAATTGCTATACTGTGTGACAATATTAAAGTCTGTTGCTGTAAGGGTTAGCAGTATTAGTTTTTTGCTATGATTATTTACTCAGATTTTTAGCTATGATAATCGCCAAGTGGAATCTCACATAAGAAAAGCTAATCATAACCTTGGACGTAATGCTTGCTCTAGGACCAAGTCTTGTGGCTTAATTGCTCATAAAAAGAGTATCTTGAGGAGAAACCACCATGTTTTTAGTTAATGTGCTAAACATCATTCTTCCATCAATTGTACTTTTTTGAGAAAAAAATGACAGCATTGTAGATTTTGGTTAACTTTTGTAAACTTTGAATCACTAGGAGAATTAAGCTACATGTTTGATCTGCAAAGATGTGTATAAGTAAACCCTTGACGTGGATGTTCCTTTTTTATTTTTAAATAAGAAAAAAGTGGAATACAAAGAAGCTCCTGATTGTGCAGTTCGATTATTCCCTTGTGAGCTGTTCTGGTTGTCATTGACCCCTTATGAACTAGTGGATGTAAACGACCAGCATTTCAGTTGATGACATAGTATGTGTTGCATGTAGGAGGTTTTGATTATTTTTCTATTCATGTGATATAGGCATGTTGTGACATAGTATGTTTTGCATGTAGGAGGTTTTGATTATTTTTCTATTCATGTGATATAGGCATGTTGTTTGGTTGGTTTTCTCTCTATTGTTTCTTTGAGCTGTATGTAGTTGCATAAGGTTTACATTTAACATTACTGACCAGGAAAATATTGAATGTTCAACCGCAGGAACTGTTTGCGGAGGTCGGTGACCTGAAACGATATATTATACATTATGATAGGAGCGGCCGATCAAAGGTATCATCGAAGTTTAACAGTCTTTTTTTTTTGGGTGAAGTTTTTTTCTTGCTGTGGTTTTAAAACCCCCTTTCTCTAGGGTACTGCTGAAGTAGTCTTCTCACGACGACAAGATGCATTAGCTGCTGTCAAGAGGTACAATAACGTTCAGCTTGATGGGAAGCCAATGAAAATAGAGCTTGTGGGAACAAACATTACAGCTGCTGCTGTTAGTCTTCCGCCTTCTGCTGCTTTTGCCGAACCAAATGTAGCTCCTCGAAGGTGTGTAATTTTCTAAAGCAATGTTTTAATATGTTGCTTCGCTGGTACATTATGCATCGGAAGATCGAAATTGGCCATCAGACCTAAATCTTGCGCATGAATAATTTAGAAACTTCCTCTTCAATGAACGAATGTGGCATCTTTATAGCCGATGATCGATAATTTACTCTACAAGATTCTTTAGAGGCAGTCTTAACTAGGAAGATGCAAATGCTAATTGGTTTGTCTGGATGTATACCCGGATATTATGGAGCCATTACATTTACACCTATATTTGACATGCAAAGTGAAGTACTTGTAGGTCCTAACAGTTTGAACAATAAGCCCCATCATTCTGCCTAGATTGTGAAACACACAGCTCCATGATTTTAAAATGCATCTCCCGGTGCATGCTTAGTGACCTTCTAAACCTTTGTTTGTTTTGCAAGATTTTTGTTTTCGGGTAGCAGAGAGGATTTTTTAACCAATTCTTGTTATTGGTATCAATGCTCTATAGTTGTTTTATTTAGTGTTTATTGAATTTGGAACAGTGGAAACAGTGGACAAGGAAGAGGCGGATTTGGCAGATCGCGTGGCGGCGCTGGCCGAGGCCGTGGATTTGGGAGGGGGGGCCGTGGACGGGGAAGAGGAGGCCGTGGTGAGAACGAGAAGATATCTGCAGATGATCTGGATGCTGACTTGGAGAAGTATCACGCAGATTCAATGCAGACCAATTAATGTGTAGCATATATAGTGGATGTACTTATTTGCACTTCATGTGTTCCAACACCTGAAGTTTCAACACGACTTTACTTTAACCAACATTAGTTCTTCGAAAGAAAGAGAGCTCTAGTGTGGGTGGGGGAGTGCAACTCTGGTTCAGGGAACTTGTTGTGTTTTATCAACTTTATATTTTCGTATGAATTTAAGACAAAAGTGTGTAATGAACATTTCAGTATCCTTCATTTCTCCTTAAAGATTCGAGTGGTTGTAGTAGCATCCCTCTTGTTTAAGTCCGCTGAAGGTATGGTGAAGAATTAATTCGAAGCAATCCAGTTTGCTTGCTTTTGCAACTGGAGAGATACTGGATCATGAAATTATGGAGCATCAAGTTTGAGGGAGCCCCCTCAGTTTCTGTCCCAACTGGTTTATATCATTTGTGAAGAGGAGTATATGTTTCCCGAGCATGAGCTTGTAGACCAAGAAGGCTTTGCTTATCTGCACTCATGAAGGTTTTTATGTTATGTCTTTTATTTCATGGAAATATATATTTCTTGGTAATGGTATCTCTTAAATTGAGTACAGTATCTAGAGTCAAACTCTGGTTGTGGATCTTTTGACTGGGTTTCAGTATCTCCATTATGTGGCTCTTGGTGCTGTGCTGGAAGGAGCTTCTGTGTCCACAATTGAGTGTGGTGATATTTCATTTTGGAGTTATTTTTTTTCTTAATGAGAAATCTTTTGAGTTTTATCCTATTTAATTATGAAGGTTGCACTGTTGACAGAACAAAGTAAGGTGTAGGTGAAGTCAACAGGTATATATGGGTGCACTGTTGAAATGCTCTTCCAGTGAGGACTTTCTTGCAGAGAAATGCTCTTCGAGTGAGGATTTTTCTTAACCATTTGCATTGCAAAACCTAATAATAGCAAAGCTCGTTTTGGCTATCGAGCAGTGATCTGTGGTTCTCACTTTGTTTAGTGGATCAAAATATGTCGCGTAGGGCAGATCAGACAATGTTGAATGAAACTGGAGTCGTCTTATTTGCTATATTCATAACATTAGTTTACCTTTATATGGCAAGAGTAACGGATTAAATTGTTATGAAAATAGGTTATTGGATTAGGATATTTAAAGGATTGAGCAACTAGTACTAAATTGTTACGAAAACAGGTTATTGGATTAGGATATTTAAAGGATTGAGCAACTAGTACGGTTGTTTGTTGCTCAAACTGCACCCCATCAGAACAAATATATTCAGAATTTCCATTGGGTAATATTACTGGGTCTCATAGTCATATATGCTACACCCGGTGAAAAAAACATTGGGTAGTGCGGATGTGTGTGAAATATGTACGGTTCGATACACATTGATAGTTTAAAAGAATCTTGCCACTCAGAGTTAACTAATGCATGTCTGTGTTGGTTCAATAATACATCAAAAATTGGGTCACAAAAACAGCTAAGCTTATTTCGGAAGTTTGAATTTAATATAAAAAAACAGCAACTGAGGTATTTTACTGTTTTATTGATACAACAGTATCTCACACAACAACATACAATGCCTTTACGAATCGGACAACTGATTGGGAAAAATAGCTAACTTCGAATATTAAGAAGAAACAAGCAAAAATATTAAGGGCATCTATAATCTATGATTGTTTGGTTTTCTCAATCTTTTCCAACCAGAAAGAATCAATCCCAAGATAGAATACAGTACAGCTTGTATACAGGAAATTACAAAGTTCCAACAAGATGAGGGCCAATACCATGGATAAAGTAATCTGAAGAAGAGACTTATCATATGCCGCGGATATCTCCCAACCTGCAATATAGCACCATCCATCAAAGAATTAAACTGGCTCCGCATATGGTAAAAAACTCGTCATATTCTAATTAGCCATAGTATGCAGTTAAGTGTTCTAAACTGGTAATATTCAGACGACTCACAGGAAAAAGAAAATCAAGAGCCCCCCAGGCTGCGTGACGCACAGCTCTTGTTGGGTACATTGGACCACCTGGAGATGTGAAGCTGTATAAACATGTTTTCAGTCGTGTACTAGTTGTCGTTCTGAGTTCAAGTCCTGTTGACATTATAAACAAGCTTAAATATAGTTCATATGTTGTTACATCTAAAATTGTGAGGAAAAAAAAAATTAGAGTTGCTTGGACAGCAAAAACTGTTTGTTAAAATGAGCAATACCTTGGAGAACTTTTATCTGATAAAGGTAGTGAAGAAGCACTGGCTCCACCTTCAACTTCTGAAGCTGACAACACAAGGATCTATAATAAGTGACATGATAACAAAACTACCAATATACGATCGAAATGGTTGATAGGTTAGTACATATAATAATGCAATTAGATCACTACAAAGTTTCTTAACTGATACCTGATCAGATAGTTCAATGACAAATATGTCAGCAGCTCCGCCAACCAATAAAGAATTTGGAAAATCGGGAAATTGCTTCACAAATCTTTCAAGTTTGTCAGCTACAAATAAAACAATCACTTCTTCTTAGAAAAATGATGGAAAGGAATACTGTACGTAATCACGACAGTGACGTCAAAGATTCGTTCAACCTGAGTTGTAAAAGAATATGAATCTTGAGAGGAGAAGAAATAAGTCTCGCTGAGCCTGGTAAGAAATTAAACCAACGGAAGTTACTTTTGAAGTACAAGTTCATTGATGGAAAGCTTTTACTAATAAGGAATCTTGTTGTCAGGGAGAAGACAAATGTTATAGACCTGAGGGGGAATCTTCTTTAATCTCTCAGAATCTAAAGCAACTTCATCTAGCAGATACTGCAACCATTAAAAGAATTAAGTTCATTAAATTATCTGACACATAACTCAAGATGCAGTAAACAGGGAATTAATTATCTTGACAAAAACTTCTCACACGAAAGAGACTCAAGAAGCGCCTTGAATTTGTTTGGATGTCGATCCTGCATTGTATGCATATATATTCGATAAGGCAACTCTTCTAAAAAAAATTCTCAGGGGATTCAAGAGAGTGAGAGAGAGGTGACAATCTTAATCAGAGTAATTTTTTTACTGGATTCATATGATATGTACATCCTGTAAGTTCAAAACAATAGGACAAAGTTTATCTAACACTAAACGCAATAGTTCCACGTAAGTCTTTGATTAGAAATAATAAGAAACAAATTTGACGCCTAGATGGCGTAAATAGATGTCTCAATGCACATAATCCACTGATTTACATGATCTCAATTCCGGGTCGTTGCTGTACTGCTGGTGTATCCCAAGCTCACGTAGCTTTGGTTTAGCAATTAATTCTCATACAAATAATAGGACAAGGTCGTACCAGAAGATATTTGTAACACCTTGGACAAGAGCAGATGAGTAACGTAGTAATACTTCAGGATTGTCAAGCTGAACCTCAAACATCTGCAAAATTAGAATTATATGTTAAATATTGGTGGGATACAATAAATATGCTCTATTAAGCAAAATAACAAGAATGAAATAAGAATGAGGAAATCAGTATATACATGACAATGACTGATCACAAGAAAAACGGGACAGGAGAATAGAGAGACATGTTAAAATGATAAAGTTCTATATTACATAGAATTCTGCCTCTTATCAGTAGATATAACAAGACCTCCACAAGAACATAAAACACGTACCCACTTGTGGAACAAGAGAGGAAAAATATTAGATGCAAATGGCTGACTCCAAAGTTGTACTATAAGATCAAGGAATGAGTTTCCATTTTGTGGCATGCGTACAAAATAATCAGCAAGAACATTGTAGAAGCATATTGGGCAACCGTATCTATCGTCCGCCAAAGAAATTGCATCTTCCTCGCCAAAAATCATATCTGTTTCATAAACAGAAAAAAGTGGATTTAAATGAAAGAATCACTGCACCATCAAAGGTATTATGAACAAAAACAAGACAACCTCTTAAACCAAAAGAGTTTTTAAAGTACGTGCGTCAAGAAAAAAACAATCAATTCTTCATCAAAGGATTTTTTTTGTGAATCGTATTGCTTTTCCTGAATTTCATTTTTCAGTTTTCATAAAAAAGGGGACTTAAATCAAATTTAGAACTTAGAATCATCATATGCCGATTTAGGAAACTGTGACCAAATTTGAGATGAGTGATGATGTATGGCAATTGATTCTTCGAAGATGGTGTCAGCGAGAGTTAAGCAAAGTTTTATAAAAACGCGTACTTAGAGATCTCACTCTCCAGCCAGATAGAGTCGAGCAACGCGTTGTGGATGCGTACAAAACCACCAAACATTTCATTTAACCTTCAAACTACTCTACGTGAAAGGATCTCACCGAGTACAACCGAAATTAAGCAAAACGATAGTATTGCCAGTAAAATCATTAAGGAACTGATTGGAGACTTATATTGCAACTCATTAAGGAAGAGAATACTCCAATTTTTATTTGTTCTTTGAACAAAAATACTAATAAGGGTGAAACTGAAAATAGATACAAACACCAAAAAGCATTGCATAACACAAGGAAATCAATTTAATACCAAAATCAAGCCATTGAACAATAACTCCACAATCAATTAGTAGTAATATCTTGGCGGAGAGTCTTTTAAGCTGAATAATTTAATTTATTTTATTTTATTTCAAAACATATATCAGGAAATGCTCCACGAAACGATAACCAATTAAAAAAAATAAAGCAAATATTCCAGGATTTACCTTTAGCGCGATCATCTACTTCCAAAGCTATGTCGGCGAACAACTCTTGCAACAAGTTTCGTCTCTGCGATACCGAAGCTAAAGCCTGAAGAATAATCGACCAAATTCAATCGATTAGTCAGAATACTGCAAAATCACAATAAAAATGAAGTAAAACAGAATTATACGCGCGCGCACACACACACATACACTCAGACAGAGTTTGTACTACATACACGTTGAAGTTTCTTCTCAATTTCGAGAGTGAGGGCGGTGAGATAAGCGGAGCCGCGAGGCGTTGACGGCGGTGGCATCGTGATCGGAATCCTCCGATGCTGGGTACTTAGACCTAGATCATTTGAGATGGAAAAAAGTAACTGCCCTTTTTTTCACCAGGAGAGGATGTTTGTGCAGTTTCTGGAACTGTTTGAATTTTAAGATTTATTTTTATGAATTATGAATTATGAAGGTTGAAGATAAATCCAAATAGTGGGTGACTCAGCAAATCGTGGATTGGCATTTGCCTTCACAATTGTGGGACCAGTTATTCCCTTGGCGGAGGACTCCCATCTACAAATAAATATTTACTTATTTATTTTCTTTTCTTTTTTGTGAAGCATACATACAACTACTAAATTAAATTTTTGTAACTGATACAATTAAATTTGACTTCTTGAAAGTGTTGTGATTCGTTGAGTATGATAAGTTATATTATGATTTGTTAAATAAATTAAATCTTATGTTATATTTGGTTTTCACCATTAATTTCTTGATCCATTATTGTAAAAGGTAAATTCCAAATGAATTGATGAGTCAATGAGCCCATTTACTCTATTTTGCTCATAATAATCAGAGGAGCCCAAGTGTGTATTTGTGAGCCCATGTTCGTGGAAATATCATCGGTAACCGATCTCATTAGTAGGATCAAGGTTCCATGAAACTCTATCAACCGTGGGTCAAATGCCACCGTACGCGTCTGACTTTGACCATCTGGTTTTGAGTCATATTTGTACGAGGAGATCAGAGTTGAGGCGGTTGAGGCATAGATAAATGAACTAAACTTGACATAAACAACTGGATCATTGGTTTCACAAACAAAGCATAGTAGTTTCCTCACACTACTAGTTCATAAATAACATTTCCACAGTAAAATTTGTACAAATAAAGAAAAATCAGATACCTAAATAGCACTAAATTTCAATATCCTAAAAAGACAGCTCACCAGCCCATCAGTGTTCTTCTAACCTTGTCCACTATCTGATTCCTAACCACAATATTCGACAATTGGAAGTTGCGGTTTTCTTCTAGAAGGAATCTGTAAACCTCCCATTCACGTTCTGCTGTTGTATGCCTCCCTATCTCTGCCTACAACCATAGCATAATTCTTGATTATCTCTCGCAATTTAAAAAAAAAAAATTAATTGTAATTTTTTTTTCGTTTTATTAAATGGAAGTGTGTTTTTACCAAAAATATGCAGATCCCAAGACTCTTTAAGGCAAAAGTGACATCATAGAAAACTCGAGGTCTTCCCCTTCCGGAAAGTTCCGTCGGATTAGCTACTAAAAGCTCAGTGTCTGGACCACGATTGGCAATAAGAACACGCAGTGGGTGAAGCAATTCCATCTTCAAGAGAGAACACAATGCATCTTGCTTTTCAGGGTCCACTATTTTCTTCCCATCTTTATACTGAATAAATAGGTCTAATTCTCTCCGGTCTTTATTTACAGGCAAAAATCGACCATATGCTATCTAAGTAATGAATAAACACCAGAAAGAAGTGTCACCAAAATATTTACGAACAAAATAACCGTTGGACGGGCAAATAGGAACATTTACCTGGATATTGTAGTCTTTTAATGTTCGCATGATGTCATAAAGGAAGCCCTTCTGATCTACACAGTTGATCTGAAGTAAGGTGTGAAGTGGGCTCAAGGAATTGTCGGTTTTTACAGTAGCCCTTTTCAACTCCGAGACATCCCGACTAAGAGCCTGTGAAAGAGGTTCCTTGTCTGAAAGTGTAAATCTGAATAGTTCTTCAGCTACAAGTGGAGGCAGAGAAGAACTGTTGTGTTGAAGGTTGTCATATTGCACGCCTGCTATCTTGAGTTCACAGCTAATGATTGAGTCACCTAGAACATTATACAACTGCTCGCATGTTTCATCTTGCCTCTCTTTTGTATGTAAGAGCTCCCTAAAAACTCGGACAAGGTTATAGCAACGGTAAACTATCAATTAGCTGATCAGAAAAATAACAACCGATGGAAACTATCAAGCGCATATATTTAAATCGCACGGCAGAAATATTCATGTTAGAAAATTTAACAACATACAAACTCCCTTTATAACCAGAGTCAAGTTCAGGAAAAATAAATAGATAATTGAATGGGAGAGAAGATGGAGTCTTAGGTATTCATCAGTTAAATGTCCCCTACTCGAGAGAAATTCAGCAACAACATATGAAGATGAATAAATCTCCTATTAGTCCAAAAAAGTAGAGCATATTCTTATGTCCGAATTTGGATGCCCCGAAATTGAACAGTTACAGAAGCATAGAAATGAGTCGAAAGAGATGATGTTTTGGGTATCTTCACAGCTCAAAAGTAGTGATAGGGAGTTAGCCTCTTCAAGTTATCGAGTGCTTTAGACAGGTGAAAAATCACATTGCGAGCATTCAATTTGGGATAGGGGTATTATAATTTTCAATCTAACAGCTTCATTATATTCTTGTACAAGAAAGAAAAATCTTACAAGTTATCTTTTATGAAGAAGAGGTCCAGCACACAGCCATCGGGAGTTGTGGTCACCTTTACTCTCTGAATTGTGTGCTCAAGCTCATCGAGGACTTGAGTCACATCTGAACAAAATGAAGGGAGGGCATTACTATTACAACCTTTATTGTAATTAGACATTACAAACAATTAAGAACATATATTTTTTTTCTACCATGTAGTAATCCCTTCCGGTCGAGGCTACAGAACTTGAGCAAGTAAACAGGGGAAGAAGAAGAAGGGCGTGGCGATGGCAGGTAAAATGATGGTATTGAGGGTGGGCAGATAGATAAAAGGCGGTCTTTCAAATTCATCCATCTCACAACACGTGAGCTTAAACGAGGAATCACCCATAGTACTACATAACACCATATACCATCTGTTGAAACATCTGGATATAAAAAATGAGAAAGTTAGTCAATAACCACCCCACGCAAAATGAAAAATACTAACAAGATGCAGATTGCATTATATTCCCACTAACTAACGACGAAAAGGGAGAAGAATGAAAACATTAAAGAAGAAAAGGCTCGTTTAATACGACAAGTTATAATCTCTAGGCAGCCAGTAAACAAAAGACCGAGGATTTAACGAATTTGGTAATACTAAAAGAGTTTGTGCATTTGTTGGCTTGTTCTGGAAATATCTAGATGTTCAAAAGTGAGTCGGTTTAAAAGCACAATACAGCTACCATGATTCAACTGTTTCAGAATAAAGTTTCAACTGCATTGCAGTACCTACTCAATTTCTTCCAACTCATTGCAAGTAAAACATAAACCGAACCACGAAAGATAACACGACGAAACAAAATTCATTTTGCCATAAAAAGTACCAAATACCAGGAGCATTTCAAACCCCAATTCAATTGATAAACCAAACTACGCATGAAAATGGAATCATACCCAAATTTAAACACATATACGAAATAAAAATATACAATCATGAAGCAACGAAAATCAAATCAACGTATAAATCCAATTAGACTAACAGATAAAAACCACAAAAAAAAAAAAAGGTTAAATAGAAAAAACGTAACCTCCTCTGGTAATATAGAGGCCGAATTCGAGAATAGTGTGGCAGATATCGCAGCCGAGTCCAGTTTTATCCGGACAATTCACCGTCACGACGTATGGCTCGCCGGCTTTCTTCCCTTTCTCTATCAATACGGCGTCGTCACTCGTCATCCCCATATCACATCGCTCGGCAGCTGATTTTCCTACACGACGGAAGACAAAAAAACCCTTCCTGCGGAAACTGAATTGTGGATTTCTCGCCCCAATTTAGGAATCTAGAGAGAGAAAGAAAGAGAGTGCTGGCAGAGTGTAACAAATGGCCGTCAGCCAATGGAGGGGAGTTGTTTACATGTGGCGGGAGAAGAAATTAGCCCATTCTGGGGTTTCTACTTTCTAACCACTATTATTATTTTTTTAATTATCTTAATAAATATAATAATATTATTATTTTTTTTGTACAAAAGCCCTTTTCAATATATAGTTTGGTGACAGCAACAATTGACCCTATGAGTGTGAAAATGTCTGATAGATCTGTATGACCTATATATATTATTTAAGGTTATTATTTTTTTTTTTTTTTTTTTAAGTACTAGATCAAGTTTTGATGGTCGTACTCTATATTCAATCACATAGCAAACCATATATAGTCACATTTTTCCCTATCAAACAATTATACATCAACCTCTTATTAAAAAAAAAAAAAATATATATATATATATATATATACATCAACCTACGAGAAAGAGTGGTTTATAAACAAATTACCTTTCGAGAAATCATTTTGAGGGTGAGTATGGCATGAATAGTTTTTTTTTTTTTTTTTTTTTTTTTTTCAATTTGTGACCTTTAAAATTGGTGGATGATTGCATCCGATTTATTTGATGCTACACCTGATGATTATTAACCGTTAATCTGCACATAATCACACATACGCATGCATATATTTACTTAGTGGCTGGTTATTTAATCACCGCGATGCACTAATTCTCAACATTTATATAGCAAATAAACAGTGAAAAGTACAAGGACCATACTATGTGGATAATAGGTCAATCAAGACCAGCATAAACAAAGCGAGGGACGAGTTACAAGAATTTCAAACCCGGAAGCAAAAAAGAAAATTCAAGAACACATTCGCGAAAATACAATCCAATGATGGTCATCCAGCCGACACAATTCGTAACAATAAATTCCACACGAACAAATAAAACCAAAAAAAAAAATCATCCAATAGGATCGAAATGCAGAGCTTGTCCTCGATAAAGATATTGGGTACACAATAGAACTTCGAACATAGAACTTCAAACACAGACAAATATTATAGCTTAGCCGGCACCATAGTTCCACAAACTATTAACATCTCTCTTAGAGTAAAGCAGGAGCTTTTTATATCATGCTTTCACTTCGACTCTAGAGGCATTTTTTTTTTGTTTTTAATTGGCACGGCTTTTGAAGACATCGAGACCCATCTCAGTTGGGTCGGTTGCTTGCAGCTCTATCTGAATGCCATCTAATTCTCTCTTGAACCTGTCCTTCGAGCTTGCGTATATCATTTTGCTCCTCACTTTAGCAGTGTCGGGGGACCTTGTCGCACGAAGAAAAAAAATAACGAATTGGCATACACGGATGCAATAGAAATCAAAGAACGGAAAATGACATATGAAAGGAAATTATTCGGTACCATGCGATGAAGAAAATCCTGCTCTTTGGGACATTCTCGTCAGTGACAAAGTCGAAATCGTACACTGCGTATCTGCACTCGTCGGCAGGAAGATTTGCAGTGAAGTCCTCGTAAGTTTGAACGGGTTCACCGAGCTTCTCCACAAGAACCTGCTTCTGCTTCTCCTCGATCTTGAAAACGATGAAGCGGTGTGTTCGCTTCGTTTTCAACTCCATAAATTTTAGCTTGCAATCATCATGCACTGCCATTCCGGATGCTGAATTAGCCTATATACACAAATTTATTTTATTTTCGTTAAATATATATGAATAGTTAAAACACTGAAATTCATCGAATGTGAAAACCCTTCCGGAATTAATTAGCGTATCTCTCTGCACAGCTCTATACCAGAAGTAATAATAAATTAACAGGCAGCAATAAGACAATCTGAGTAATTGCTTCAAACCAATATATATACCATCTCTCTAACTAGCCAAAAGGTAGTCAAATAGGCATCTAATTGATATTTCAATGTCATGGCAATTTTACATTTCAGTCCAAGTGACGAACAATTGCATCCCAAACCAAAACATGCAAACAAGGCAAAGTTAATATAAATTTAAGGAAAAAAAATGATGTCAGCAAAGTTGCCAAGCAATGCAGGCAAAAAATGGTAAAATTATCACATGTCTAATGATTTTCAACGCTTTTCGAAATTTTTTGTGAATTAAAAAAAAACTTGAGAGGAACTCATAGTTGATTGCTTAATGTGTTAACACTTCAAACGAGTAGTAGCGATGAAACAGACGCACACTGAAATGATTTATGTAGGAGAAGAAACTACGGATAGTTGGTCTTTTTCGTCCTCTAGAATGTTAGCACAACACAATAATTTTCAAATTGCACAATACATACAAATTTTGTACATTTAAAAATTGAAGCTTTGTTTAATGTCAAAATAAAACAAAATCGAAGCTTACTTCCTCTACCTAAGTTGAATCATACAAAATTTACGAAGGTTGTTACAATCGACGTGATGTACAGGATCTGACAAGATTATTCATCACAATCAAAAAAAAAAATAAGGCAAAAAAATATAGATATTATTACTAGGTTATATAAGTATCAAAAAATTGTAGTCAATTAAAATTCCTCGATTACTATTGCTTTCGATAAGCTACTAATTTAAACTTAGCACAGTGCAAATCGTATAAAGCCATGTCATCAAACAAGTTTTTGTCCACACAAATAAAATATCTAATTATTGATCATCTAGTAGCTATTCAACTGAAGTAAAATTTTACTTTACCAAAAGATGCCGCGAAATCGAATCTTAATTTAGCATACACTTAGGAAGATCGTAACTCTTAAGCAAATCGAACACAAACTTTTAAATCAACAAACAAATTTTGACCAAATCAGATCTAAAAAATATTTTTTTTAAACAAAAAGCAAAAAAAAAAAAAAAAAAAAAAAAAAAAAACAGAACGACACCTAAATCAAACTGAGCTGCCAAGAGACTACGCATCTTGACTCCATTACACAAACCATGAAAATCGCGAGCGAGCAAATAAATACCGAAATCAGCCTCACAAGACGAGAAAAATCGAAAAAAAAAATAAATAAAAAATAAATAGACAAAAGGATAAGAAAGTAAAAGAGCAGAGGAAGAAAAAATCGTTAGTGATTACCATAGTAGCGAGGGTTGATCGGAGAAGATCGAGGTTGTTTTGAGTTTGACAAGAGAGAAAGAGAGAGAAAACTTAGGGATGAGAAAAAGACGGGTGTTTTTCGTGGGCAGATTGGAGATTGGAGAGAAGAAATGACTCTTTGTTCACAGATGGAAAATTCGGGAAAATATAATAATGATTATTCATTATTATAATCAAAATGTGGAAATGTCAATGTTACCCCTGCGAAGCAACTTATTTTCATTTTTGTTTTGTTTTATAGAAAAATGTTTGACTAAAAAATTAAAGTAATTTTTGTTTATATTTCCATTAAAGTTTGTTTCAAAACTTGTATCAAAACTCAAAAGTACTTTAAAGAATTCAACTTTTTAAATACAATAAATATTTATATATTTTTATTGATTTTAATTATTTCAAATATTTATCTAATTTGAAAAGATATTGAATTGTTTAAAATATTCATATAGCATCTTCTTATGTAAAAAATAGTTTTATACTGTTCTACAAATATTTGAAAAATTAACTAGTTTTTAATTTTTATCACAATCTTTTAGATTAATCATAAAATCATAATCCGCATAATTTGGCTTTTTTATTTAATATTTTTTACTAAAACAACATGCATGAAATTTACATATTACTTCATTTGGATTTTAAGTAGTATGTGTTCAAAGATTAATATAATAGTTCTCGATTTGAGCCTGTATAAACTCGAAATAATTCGAGTTCAGTTAAGTCTACAAGTAGCGTCAAATATCCTCGGTGCGTACTGTGCATCGTCCCGTTTATATCCAGTAAACAAAAAACAAAAAATCTACCAGAGAAAATGGCAGAGTTTGAAATGTTGACGAAAACTCTACTCTATGGGCTTAGAAATAATGGACTTAAGTCTTCAAGTATAAAGTCAAGTTCAGTTTAAGTTTACAAGTATAGAGTCAATGGTATATAAGTTTTAGTTAAATATAAGATTTTAATCTTTTAATTGTGGAGCTCGATGGTAAAATTTAAATCCATTAAAATTCGGATCACATTGACCGAATGCTCGATAAACAAATAACAAATCTATTGTTGAGACCAACAAATTTGAATTCTCACATCACTCTACATAGAAGTACCAATGAATTTTAATTAGGAGTTTATTATTTCCTAAGCAAATTAAGATATGACTCTATTTCTTTTGTGAGTAATTAATTTTAGTTCACTAATTTAATTTATGTATTTAAAAAGGGAAAAAAAAATACTCACGAGGGTGATTTTGTAATTTATTAAAGGAAAAGGAAGAAAACCTCGCGAAGCGGCGCTATAAATTACAAACCCTAACCCTGCACCTTTGTCTCTCTTCACTCGCCTCCTCGCTTCCATTTGAGCTGAACTGAACATAAACAGAAGCGGCGGCCGCTCCTTTTCTCAGGTAACCCTCTATCTCAGATCTTCTACGCCGGCGGCAAACCTTGATTTCTTCGTTTTGCTTGTTGACGATTTCATTTATTTGGTATCCTTTCGTAATTTCAATTGCTTCCATTATTTCGTAGGGTTTGGATTTTTTTTTTTTTTTGAGTAGTGAGTATTTATCTGTGTTAGTGAAGATAGAGGGACAAATTAATGCTGAATAAAATATATATGTTTTCACTATTGTTTCAGCCTTTATGTTCTGTTGAATTAGTAAATGGGGAAATGTGAGAGAAATCAATACTTGAAAAAAATAAATATAAAAAAATGATCTTGTGTTTACATTCGCAATGGTAGTGCTTTTGTTCAAAATGTTTGCAGTCCTTTTCATGTGGGTACTTTTTTGTTTTGAATGTTTCTGGGTATTGCTGAATTGTTCTTATGTAATTTTCAACTGTTGGGGGTTTTAATTTTAATTTCATTTGGTTAACGTGCTTTGATATACGTTATTGTAGCTATTGGACTGTATAATTAGGTTGAGATTCTGTGCAATAGATCTTTATGCCCTGTTTAATATTTGCTGTACTTTTTCCTATCAGCTTGCACTTGAAAATGGTGAGAGTCAGTGTTTTGAACGATGCACTGAAGAGCATGTACAATGCCGAAAAGATTGGGAAACGACAGGTCATGATCAGGCCTTCTTCGAAAGTGATCATCAAGTTTCTTATGGTTATGCAGAAACATGGTTTGTTCCTCTTTCTACTATGCAACACTTCTTTCTTGTAATCTCGATTTTGTTTTTTCCTTAAAGAGAGTTCTCTTTTTTGAATTGGTTTTACAGGATACATTGGAGAATTTGAGTACGTAGATGACCACAGATCTGGAAAGATTGTGGTCGAACTGAACGGAAGGCTGAACAAATGTGGTGTTATCAGCCCTCGATTCGATGTTGGTGTCAAAGATATCGAGCCCTGGACCGCAAGACTTCTCCCATCAAGACAGGTAGAAATAAATTCGATAAACTTCCGGTTATTATTTGTAACATGGGAATCTTTTTATCCCTCGTTTGGTGTGTTTTTAATCTTGCACGATTTTGTTGCAGTTTGGATATATTGTGCTGACTACATCTGCTGGAATCATGGACCACGAAGAAGCACGTAGGAAGTCTGTTGGAGGCAAAGTGCTCGGTTTCTTTTACTGAAGGGGTTGTTAATTTGGTTGTCTCTCATTAGTTTTGTTGGAAGAAGTTTTGCAGTTGAATTTGCATCCGAGACATTTAAGAGGCTTTTCTTAATTTATTTGATGAAATCGAATATTAAATTTCCTAGTTGTTAGAAGAAATGCTAGTGTCTGTTTTATTACGTTGCTGATATAAATTGCTCTTTTGTTTGATGTGATGTTGAACTAATTTGCTGGTTTTTAATTGGGATTACAGTCAAATTTATCTTAAGCAATTTGTTTTGGTTTTGCCTTTTACCTGGTATGGGTAGTACTATTGTATTATTGCTTGTGATCTGAGAAACTTGCGATGTCACACGAATGGTGCAATGTAAAACCTGTACATATGAGTTGTATTGATGTCGCTTTTTTCCCGTAACCATTTTGATGCACCAAGTACAGTGCATTGATGGAAAACTGATTTTCCCAGATGTTTCTTGCACCATTCTTGTTATTATCCAGTAAATTCTTGATTGCGAAAGTACAACGAACATGAACCTTCTGATGATCATGATCGTAACTTCAGTAAATTCTTGAGTAATTCCTTGTGATTTGAAGAGCATGAATACACTAATTGATGAAAAGATCTCACTTGCTGATTTTTGTGAACTATGCTGTGTCTATTCAAGATTGTTGGTTTGAACTTTAAAGATTCGATCATGGATCCAGTGAGCATAAAATTGTGAGCCGTATAAAAGTTCAAATTATCCGATATAATTGTGATCCATCAAAGTCTTTCCTGCCATTCTATAACCAGAAGACATTTTCAAAATTTATTTACACCGTAAAAGATTTAGAACATCACATATTTCTTGTTCAATGAAAAATGACAAACTAATTTGTTCTAGATCCGATACTGTAATGCATTCATTCATATGGTAAATAGTATGTTTTAGTTAAATAAAACACACCACAACAACAATTTTCAATATCATAGTTTCAACATATCAAATCACAAAAAAAAAAGGCGAACATTACACCGATCAAAATCCAAAAATACACCCGAGCCTAAAATCTAGGGCAAAACAAAGAACTTAACTGACAAAAACGGTTGTGAGAAGACATTGCCAAAGGATGCATAGTTGCCCAAAACAGAGATAGATTAAACTTTCTCAATCACCGAACATGGAAGATAATCATTACACCCTCCCATTTCTTCAAAACTAAACTCCGTTTGGTGCTGCGATTATTCGACCCCCCGTAGGGGTATAAAATGGATGCCTTCTTCGGTGGAAATGTTAACTCAAAAAGCTAATAATGGATGAATGGGTTGTTAGTGGAGCGAATCTTCTAAGCATATGCTCAACCATTGCCTTTTTTGCACAAACTTTAATTTTCTTTTTGATTTATTTATAGTTATATGTTGATCTAAGCTTACTTTATGGCTGATGGCTATCCTGCTATACTTTTTGGTTTGATTTAGTGAATTTCCATATCTTGAAAAAAAAAATCAAAATAAAAAGTCTCATGCTACGTGTATGCGAATGTGACCATATTATAATTATTTTTAATTTGACATTACGTATAACGTCTGCGTGTACAAAAGAACGGTTTCAAGTTTCGGGATGTGAGGATCAGATTACTTTTTATATCGGCGAAACAATGGAATAATCTCAGATTAATCAGTTTCCCTTTGTAAGGTTAGCTTTGATGTATGATCAAACATTCCAAGTTGTTAATAAGGCCTTATGTTCACCAAAATGTACTTCACTTTCGACATTAAGACAATACCTCGACACTAATTTAATGTTTGGACATTGAATATTGGCAACAAACGCAAATTTAAGAACAAAAGCACGAACATTACAACTTTTCCTTGATATTTTCTTCAGGGAACAAACATGAAATTCCAGCACATTTGATTTCCCAATATATATAAATTAAAGCCGGCAATCCAATCACAATTCGCGAAGCTTACCACATTATATAACACTTGCCCTGCACACGATAGTTACTATAATTTATACCCATCTTACACCTAATACCTGTTTTGCACTGAGACGGAATACCTCAAACGTTGAGCTCTTCCTTTCCGTAAATTCGCTGAAGCTCACGAGTTGCTGCTTGGAACGATTCTATTACAATTTAAAAAAAAAAAAAAAACACGAAAGGGAATGAGCAAAGAAAAAAAAAATGAGTCGGAGTAGAATGTGAGAGTTTCATTTCACTACCTTTCCAAGTGCGAAAGGCTTTTTGGTTTATCGGAGAACCAGTCACAGTCTGTATTGCATCGAATAGCATACTCTCAGAAGTGCTTCTTAACTCCTGAACTATCTGATAGATTGTCTTCCCATTTTCAAAGTATATGTGGTTGTTTGGGTGCTTCGTCTTGCACCCGGCATGTCGTTCAAATTCATACGCATTAAGCGCCTAAATTTGAATCGGAAAAGAAAAAAACGAAAAATTACTCGAAAAAGTAAAAGAGGGAAGCATCAATGCATCATTGTATTTCTCCAATAAAGAATTAACATAGACAGAGCTTTTACCTTAGAGTAGTTACATGACTGACATCCGCAAAGATATCCAGAGCCTTTGATGATTCCACGAAGCTCCTTATTACATGCAAGGATAATTCCCATTAGCCACTTGAAAAAGAACGAAAAAGCTAAATAAGCAAGAAAAAAGAACCGATAAACTCACCTCACGCGAGACAGAAACGTATTTCACGGGCACCCCATCAAGCATACCCGTTGCTATCAAACTCCTCACATTGGAAGGAAAGCTATTTGGTGCTTCTTTCCTTGAAGGTTTCGTGTCCGACTTAATCTTAGATGTCGAATCAACCTTTGGTTTAGGTGCCTGAGTGGTGCCCACAGTAGCACCGCTATTTGGTGCACCCACCTCCTTCTTGGTAGGTGTTTCTGATGTTTGAGCTGAAGACTGCTCGTATAATAAGCTATAGCTACTAACTGGCCTAGCAAGGGCTTCCATTACAGATTCTTCTTGATAGCCGCCAAAAGATATAATATTATTATTGTCCCCTTTGCCAAAAGTCGATCCGGTACAAGTGATATTTGATTCACCCGTGTTGTACGATTGGCCCATCAATGTAGCATTTCCACCTTCCTTACCGTAATGCTGTCCAATGGACTCAAAGGTAATTTCACCACCCCTGTGGTATGTCTGCTCCATCGAAACCCCTATGTCGTGCTCGATAGGGTCCTTGACCTGGTTGACTTTGACTTTTCTAAGTCCACCATAACTCACTCCATTTTCCTGTTCTTCCATTGCGTAAGAAATTGACAAACCAACGGATGAATTATCCTCAAACTCTTCTCCAATAACTTTTTCTCTTACACCTGAGCCATCTGTCCCAGCAATTGCGGGGATGATTGTCTCGGAACCAAATAGCCGATCCATAAATTGGTTCGGGGCGGATGGCACTGACTGAAATCCAGAAGAACTTTCCCAAGAAAGTGAACTCTGCATCAGAATTTCTGATTCCTGCTTGGTAATTGGAGCTTCTAGAACCTGTTTTTTGCTAGGAAATAACTCCGGCTCGGAAGCGTCTAAGAGCCACTGACGGGCCCGCTTAGGTTCGATCCTAGACGAGTTATCGAAAACCGCATCTCCATCGCTGACATGTCCACCGCCTTTTAGCATCCAAAATTCTTTGTCCTAAAACAGACAGCAAACAGCGTTACAACGTATAGTATACACAGTTATCACTTGATTCAAAGCATACTAAACGCATCGCCATCACTAGCAAAATACACAATCCCTCCATAGCTTTAAGAATCATTACCAGTAATAAAGAACCTACTGTACGTGTAGATTTCATGGTCCAACACACCCGATAAACAATGATGACTTGTCTCATCAAGTAGCATCGTACTTTACAGTGATCTATGATGATAAAACATTTAGAACACTAAACTTGTACGGTTAAAAGGATATATGAGATAGTTCGCTCAGTCGCTTCACTCGAAATACTTAGTAATCAAAGAATCATACAGTCAGCTCAAGTCAGTTAAAATTAAAATGACAACACAAATTTCATCACCACATTGTGTACAAATGGTAGGAAACAACCTCACTGCTAACAGAACAATAAAACAAGAAAAAAAGACAAATCATTTATACCAATGCACGTTCGTTCAGTTAGGTAGAACTATTGAAAATAAATAGTTCTGAAAAAAAAATAGAAAATAATCAAAACAGAACTCACCATTCGTCGCTTCCACTTCGGTATATGATAAATCCCTACAACCCAGAAAAATCAAACGAAAAATCAAAATTTTATCGAATTTCCACATCGTTCAATCGTTTACTTGAACTCGGAATCCGAAATGAAAGAAAATCATTCTGTAGATGAATCACAAATTTTCAATAATCGAGTCGAAACCCTAAGCAAAGTAAAATTCGGAAACCCTAAAAATTCAAAAAAAGAGAAAATGCACCTGAGATTCAGTAGCCGATGAAGTTCCCGGTGAGCTTCCCGGCGCCGATGATTATTAATTAATTAAATAAATAAATAATTTTAGGGTTTTGTTTGTTTGTGGTGGAAAGGGCGTGATCCTATTGTGCCTGAGGAGCACTCGATTTTTGCTCACTGAGTTAATGTTAACCTGTAACCGAGACTACAGTAAGGGGTAGGCATCTTTACAGCTGGATCGATCTGGGCCGCTTGTAGGACCCGACCCATATCTATGGAATTATCAATTATTTGAAATAAATGAATATATCTTTAAATATGAATATTTATATCTAGGAATAAATAACTTTTCTTCCTAGATAAATAATTAATTGAGGCTATACAATTATACCAATAATTAAATATTATTTATATCATTTATATTATTAGTGCATTTATATTATTAGTGCAGTAGAATCTCGATAAATTAATAACCTCGTTTAAATAATAGTTTCTTCATGTCCCGACTTGGTGAATACGTATTAAATTAATAATTCGATAATTTAATATTTTACTAAATTACTAGAATTTTTCTAGTCCTAATTATATTAATATATAGAGGTTTAACTATATTTGAATATTATTGAAGTTAATTAGACTAATTTATTCTTCAAAATGCATGTCAAATTTTACGTACTACTAGTGCACATGTAATAACTGCAACGTTCATGTCATGGATAACTAAAATGAAAAATGTATCAACCAAAATCACAAATAAAAATTACTTTATTTTAAAAATAAAAAATACAATTTTTAATAATTCTAGATATTAGATAAAATTCAAAAGGTGACGACTAAAGTCAACATAAAAGACTACAAAAATAAAATGTTTCAGATTTCTATATAGCAACATTGTGCAGTTTTTTCACAGCAATTTTAGTTCAAACCTTAATAAAAAAACATAAGAACAAGATTCTTAACTAAATCTCTGCAGTAACAAACTTTCAGCTAAGCTAGGTAAATAAATCATTACCCTCACCAAAACACAAGATTTTTACGTTTCTTACCGCCCCGAAAAATACGCACACAGCTCGTCCCTCAAAAGCGAACCATTCTTATCAACAGCTTCACAAACCTCCTGCCTATACCCGGGGTCATGGTCCACCGAACAAGTCAACCCTCCGACATCGTCGTCATCGCCCTCCTCCGACATGTCGATAACAATGTTGTGAAGAATGCAACAAACGAAAATAAACCTAGGCAGCTTATGCTTGTCCGGCCTCCACATATCCCCTCGAATCATCCGCCACCCTTCCTTCAGCCTCGTCAGCGCCTTCTCCGCCACCAAATGCGTGGCAATAACCCTCTGGTTGAACTCGGTTTTAGTCTCCGTTAGTTGCTTCCCTTGATAAGGAGTTATAAGCCACGGCAATAACGGGAATCCATAATCGCCTATTATGTACTCCGTAATTTTTTCTTCTTCGTCTTGTTCGGATTTTTTCAATCTCTCCCCGTTTTGACATAACTGGAAGAAGGTCGAGTTTTCGAGAACCGAAGAATCGGTCATTTTTCCCGGCCACCCCGTGACTATGTCGCGGAACCTCAAATCGGGGTCCACCACAGCCTGGAGGACCATGCTGTGGGCCCCCTTGCGATCGACCCAGCTGTCGGCTTCTCGATCGGACGATGTCAGCAGCATGGTGATGTGCGTGGTGTCGATTGCGCCGCAGCAGTTTGGGAGGCCGCGGATTTTTTCGAACTTGCGTTTGATTTCGGTGAGTTCTTGGTTTGTGGTGGGCCACTGGATGTGGTGGGTCCCGCTTTGTTCGATGGCTTCGACGAAGCGCCAGGTCACCTGGGAGACGGTGGAGTGGTGGGTCCCGAAGGACTCACCGATGGAGATGAGGGAGTTGCCGGTGCCGAGGCGGCGGAGGGCGAGCGCCACCTGGTCGTGGAGGGACATGGGCTTGCCGTTGATGAAGGCGAAGTGGGTCTTGGCTGTCATGTGGTCCTTCACTAGGGAGCATATGTAGTCGAACGTCTTTCGTGACATATTGAACGTTGACTTGAAATCGTCTGGATTTCCTGTGAACAGAAAATTATAATCGAATCCGAGAAAATTATGAATGGAAGAAAGAAAAAAAAAACACTAATTTCCGAGGAATAATAACCGAGTCAAAGAATACTACACAAACAGGCAGGAAATAAAACGAGCAATTTATCGAATAAAAACATTAACTCGTGTAGTATATATTTCCCTGGAGCAAAAATGTATGTCAATCATGTATCTATCATAGTTTAAAGGAGACAGCCTCGAGTGCAAAACCGAAAATGCCGAATAAAACCTACAAATCTTTCGATTTTCATCCACTCCGAAGATGAATAGCAATGCCTTGTGATCTTAATCCAAAGCCCCCGTGTTCGTTTCTCAATCTAGACAGTTATTAATTAATAGTCAATATCATCAAACGCACTTTCACACCTCATATTCCTTAATCCGCGATCCCCTATAAGACATTCTAAGACTTAGGTCACTTGTGACAGTGTAATTCAGAGCAGTTATAAGTACATTTAATATTAGCAGAACTCACTACAGACAATCGAAATCAACTATTTCCGATATTTATAAATACATTTTATTGGACCAAGACCATACATAGCGTATAAGTTCTTCTAGAACAAAGATTCTCAGCACAACGGAAGGTATAATTAGTAGAAATAAGATCCTGCAGAATATCCCTTAAGTTCTCGTCTTTTTGGTCCGTTTTCCAATTATCCATTCTATTTCCTTAATTTTCTTTTATTATACTCGAGTCATTATACTCGAGTCATCTCTTTTTGCTAGAAACAGCGAAGACACCACAACCGAAAGATAGATTTACACCAAAACATCTGTCAAATTTTCTGACAGCAGATGAAAAATAACGTCTAAATTCGAGATATACTCGTTTATGTCCAAGGATGTTCTTTTAACAATGTAAGAGCTTCGATGTACCAAACACAAATACGTTAGATACTTATCAAAGAACAAGCAGCAAAAACCTATCAGATAAATTGGCTGATTATGAGATATATCATGAGATAAATTAACTGATTATTGACTTGAACATTTGAACACAGCTTTAACCATCAGATTCGGGAAACGGGGATTTTATATTATAATTTTGTTCTTAATAACTACAATGTGAAATTTGTATTCGTTAACACTTAGCAGAAGGAAGTTATGCATACTATCTACTCCATTTCACTGTAATAAAGGATAGGAAATACTCTCCTTGAATAAGGCATCGATAATTCCTATGTTTCCTCATTGAATTTGCTAATGCTCGTTAAACAAAACAATTATTTACAAAATACTCGATCTGCATCGCAAATGCATTTATTCGAAATCTAAGAACAAAAAATTCCCTTTCCGATATCAAAGTCATCGTCATCGAACCAATCTCCGTATTCTCTAGGATCATCAGGTAAATAAATGCACGAATACGATATATAATTACGGATCCGGCCGCATTAACTCAAAATTGCCAAATTAAAAAACAAAAATCACAATCGAGCAAACCGAAAATCCCAATCCAATTAAGTGCAGATAATCGATTTTCTTTTCTAATTTTTTTTCGTGATGAACAGCACCCAACGAAATACCCAAACACATCATAGAAATCAACATTTCGCAATGTAATTCGAACTGTTTGCAAATTTAAAAAAAAAATAAAAAAAAAAATCAATTAATAATAATAACAAATAAATAAAAATAATTAAAATTTTACCAGCAATTTTCTTTGATAAAGCATCCCACCATTTTGCAGAGCCATCCTCTGGTGAAGACCCAGAAACCATGGAGTTATCTTCTTCTTCTTCTTCATTATTCTCTACTTTCCTTTTCTTCTTATTCCCTCTCAGAGGTGCCATCACAAATTAAATAAATAAATAAATTCCCCAATTGAATCAAAACCTAGAAATCACCACCGATTTCAAAAACAAACAAAACACCGTCAGAATTCAAATACAACCCCCACCCATTTGCAAAATGAAAACAGAGATTGAACGCAACGGCCGTATAAAGATCATTCACAAGTTGCAGAAACGAAGAACATGCAAGTACAGAACAGACACACAAAGCGCCTCTACATACATACATATATATATGTGTGTATGCATATGTGTATAGATGATTAGCTACAGAGTAAGTATCACACACCAATACGGGTGTGTGTGTGTGTGTGTGTGTGTGTTACCTGTTGGAGAGTGGTTTGTGTAGCATGCAAATTGAAACAGAGAAAAGTTTTTACATGAGAAATCTGAAGAAAGACATTTATTTTGGGGTTTGTGTTTTTTGTTTAAGACAATGTGCTAAGACAAATGAGAGACCATTGATACAGGTCGATGCTGGAAAGACTATACTTACATGGGTTCTGAACCAGAGAGCGGGGGGGTGGGGGGTGGGTGGGTATGGGGGGTTGGGGGGTGGGGGGGTGGGGGTTAGCTTAATATGATTATTAATATACAATAAGGGCAGCCATATTTGATAAAGAAAATTATAAGAATATTATCTTTTATATATATATATGGTTTTTATAAGAGAACTATAGGTACTCAAAGTGCACGGAATAAACTCTGTACTCGTACAATAACGACGTAAATCGAACGAAAAATGTAAATCACACTGGAATTCGATAACATTAGAAGTTAGACATAGGAAAAAAAATATAAAATTATTGAAGGTTGTTATTATTTATGAAATTATTAGGAAGAAATATGAAATAGTAAAAGGGTTGCTTACACTAAACAAAGTCAAAGGTTACAAAGTAAATAATGAAAAGTTTGCAAGTTCCTCAAATATATTACAGTCCATCGAATTTTTCGAACGATATCCTTTACGATTTGATAAATTAACTTTTCTTTAATGCAGGTGTGACGTCATATTTTTCATTTATCGGAGCGCATTATACTTCACGCGCGGGACTGGATACATAATTTATTGACCGGACAAAAAGAAATAATATAGAAAAGATTATACTGATTTATCGTTAAATTTCAGATGCATGTAGTAAATTATTCATATATTATTACATTTTTATGTAGTATGACAATTTTATTTTATCTTTTTGTTGTTTGATAAGAGAATCACAGTCACTCGAAGTGCACGAGAAATGTACAATACTAAAATGAGATGATATCAATAGATAGCCATAGAAAAGTGAAATATAAATTTATTGTGGTTATTAATTATGAAATTACTTGGAAGAAATACGAAATACTACTTTAAAAAAAAGTCAAAGTTACAAAATAATTAACAAAAATTTCCCAAGTTCCTCAAATATATTACAGTCCGTCGAATTTAATTACGATGATATCTTTTACGATTTGACAAATTTGCTTTTCTTTAATGCCGGTATGATGTCATAAATTTTATTTATTAGAAGACGTCATATTTCATGATATTGCGTCACATAATTTATTGACTACACCTACACCATTAAGGTCAGAGAGATTATATCGATTTATCGTTAGATTTGAGCGCATGTATTAATTTTATTTATTTATTTATTTGAT